GACTTGATGGGAGACCAGAGCCTGTAGTGTAGCGGTTAGACGGTTTGCTGTCGCGTGCAGGAGACCCAAGTTAAATTCCCGAGTGGGTAGAAACCTTTAATCAAGTTGGTCTTTCTGCTGGGATGTTGTAACCCTTGGATCTTTCTGCTGGGATGTTGATTTCCTCTAGTCTTAGCCCGGGTTGGCTCTGGCAGGCAGGGTCAGAAGCCCGTCTTCGAAATGGTATGAATTTATTGTGTCAGTGGGGGCGTAACCCCCTTCTCCCCCCTCCCCCCCGCGCATGCATAAAAAAGAGAGTTGGAGTTGTTGCTGCCCACTCGTGTTACCATAGGAGAGTGCTTCGGTCACCCGAGCAATCCTTTGCTGCCTTTGTAGTGCACACTCGTCGCGCAGTACGTGCGCACGCGCGCTCGTCACATTTTCCTCCTAATGTGACGACTGGTTTGTGGGTGAGTGCATTTTCAGCAGTTCATTCAAGCCATGCTTCACTGCTTCTTAAAATTTTTTTTTTTTAGATGAATGGTGGGCGCTACTGGTAGTTGCTGCTTCTCCTCCTCCTCCTCCTCCTCCTCCTTCTCCTCCTCCTCCTCCTCCTCCTCCTCCTCCTCCTCCTCCTCCCCCCTCCTCTCCCTCCCCCTCTTTTGTTTCTGTCCAGTCTTCCATTTTCCCAAGCACCGGGTGACCGTTATTTGGCGCATATTATATGTTATTCAAAATTTGTTGAATAAAATTTGCTTTGATATACATGTATATTATTCTGTAGTTTAGATTTAGTGTCACTTTAAGGTGTGCTCTCCCCAGGCACGAGCAGTACGCTCGGCGCGGCGGGGGGACTCTCGTGCAGTACTCGGCAGAAAAACATAACCCTGACCTCAGTAATTTTTTCAGCTCAGTCCGTAGCTCAGTCCGTGCCGTGGTCACCTTGCTCGATGTTTGGGTTGTTGTATTTCACGCCCATCTCCTCTGGGTGCTATGGGTGTCTGCACGCCCTGCGTCCCAAAAGAAAACAGTTTTTGTACTTGGATGTTGTATTGATTGTGTTTCTTTTTGCGCTGCAGATGGTTTGAGGGCGCCGCTGCTTGGTTATGCTTTAAAAAAAATTGTCCCTTTCTGTTTGTTTTTTTTCTTCTTAGTGCCGCATGACTGTCGTTGTATCAAATTCAAGTGCTTTTCTTTCACCACACTTTTGGGTGAAAGGTGCTACTGGTTGGTGCTAATTTTTGTTTTTCCTTTTCTGTCTGTTATTTGTGTCTGTGTCGTCTTGGGTTTGTTGCACGCCCTTACAGTTACAGAGTTTATTGTTATATTTACTTATTTGCTCATGGCGGACCGTGTCTGTTCATGGGTTGCCGCGTAATAAACTACAGTTACACCCCCTCTCCCCCGCCATCTCACCTTTAACAGAAAGACCCGAATGTTCTGCTTTTTTTTTAGCTCTATAGTCTCCCCCCCCCATCTACAAACGACCCATCTGTTTGTTTTTCTTTATGTCTGCACCCCCCTCCCCCGCCCCGTCCCCTTTTCTTTCCCTTGCACACGCGTCCGCAAGTGTGAGCACACTCTGGCAAAAGAGAAGGGCAGCGGGCGGACCAAATTGACCGTTTTGTTGATGTCCGAAGGACCTGAGAAGCCCGGTTGTGTTGTTGTGCCGCGATGGAGGGACGAACAT